TAGATCAGCATCCAAAGTGGGACAGTGAGATGGCTCAGCAGGTTTAAAAGGCACTTGCTGCTCAGTCCTTGAAACCAGGGTTGATCCCTGAAACCCAAGTGGAGGGAGAGAACCAACTCCATAATATTGTCCTTTGACTTCCTTACACATGTCATGGCACGTGCATCAATGCACACACATCACACATACACACAATAAATAATAATAATAACAACAACAATAACAATAAATAAAGAAGTTCAAGGCAAGTTTGAGGTATAAATGCCTTTAATCCCAGCACTCAGGAGGCAGAGGTAGGCAGATCTCTGTAAGTTTGAGGCCAGCCTGGTCTACAAAATGAGTTCTAGGCCAGCTGTAGCTACAGGGAGACCTTGTCTCAAAAAAATAAACAAAAATAAAGAAGTTCAAGGTTATCCTCATATCATGTTCAAGGCCATCCTGGGCTACAAGAAACCCTGTCTCAAAACAAAGTGCACTTTCTATTGACTGTGTATGACTTTTACGCCTCTGTAAAGTAGATAAAAAAAATAAACTGAACCATTGTAAATTGGAGACTATATACAGACAACATCAAATATACAGTTTTTTTATTACCACATCACACTGTGTGGACACTTGTGAGTCTTGGTACATTATAGGAAAGCACACATGAATGAACTTTTGTTTTTTGAGATAGGGTCTCACTATGTAGGCCTGGCTGGTATGGAACTTGCTATGTAGACCACACTGGTCTTGCACTCACAGAGATCTGCCTGCCTCTGCCTGCCTCTGCCTCCCAAGGCCTGGAATTACAGTTGCAAGTCACCCTGAAGTTAATTTCTAGTTATGATGCTTGGCTATCTATGTCTTCTATTTAGGGTGTTATGTAGTTTCCTTTTTAAATACATTTGAGTCAAAAAGATAAAGGGGTAATTTTTCAATGCTAAGTCAACACAACATGGAGGGAGTGCCCACACGGCAGAAATAGCAAGAACAGTGACGGGGAAGCTGGGGACCTAGATACACCGTAAGCTGTGCTGACTACCAAAATGACTATTATTAGTATTCTCTTTGAGTGCTGGCTGAAAATTAACTTGGGGTCATCCTGAGATTAATATATATATATATGTATATATGAATGTATGTATGTTTATATATGAACTGGCTTTTGAGAAAGGGGTGGTTGAAGGAAAACCGAAAACATAAACCACAAGGGACTAGAAATCCTTTCAATTGTGGAAACCTCCAAGAGACGTTTCTGGAAGCCCCCGAGGGGAAAAAAGTCCATGATTTCTCCAGTTCGCAAGACAAACCCCCCAAATTGAGGGTACAGGAATCACATGCAACCAGGAGAAGAGAAAGAAAAGGAATGGAGGAGAGGGGTGGAGATAGCAGAGGGGTTCCGCCCAGGATCCTTCCTGATCCAAAGGTCTGCGGTTCCAAGAATTGCTGTGACAGCTCCTGGAAACAGCCTGGAAAGGTCTCCCAGGTAGAGGCTGTGCCAGAGACAGGTGAGGCTGGGCACTGCCAATCAGAGGCCACGAGTGAGGAGGTGTCAAAAGACCTAGTAGCTAGGAATGGCCATAGAGGCTAGGGACAAGGTGCTTCTGGCCCTTGTTTTGACTTCAACAGAGAGAGGCTGTGGTCACCCTTTGATGAGTGTGGAAACCCCAGCTCAGAGGAATAATTCACTACACTCTCAGATTTCTCCTTGCTGTGACTCTTCTCAGGCAGAGGAAAAAGTTTAGGGTTTAAAAATCAGACAGACCTAAGTCCCATGTCCCACAGGTTGAGGCTGTGTGACTTTGGGGAAATTACAGAGTATAGTATACTTATTATAGTATAGTATATATTTACAGAGTTAAGTATAACTTCTCTGAAACTTGGAGTTCTGGTTTGAAAAATGGCAACAATAATAATATGTCCTATTGGGTTTACTGTAAGGATTAAATGGAGTAACTCCCCCCCCCAAAAAAACCCAAAACTATCGGTGGGGGTGCTGGTAGTAGACTAACATCTTAGCCCTGCATTTGATCCCTAATACACAACAAACTCTGCAAGTAAATAAAAGATCCCAGGGCAGGAGTTCAAGACATGGGAGCTGTTGTTACAGTTTCTAAAGCCAACATCCAGATGTGTGGGGCTGCCAGCGCATTGCCCAGTGGGCCTGTTATCATCTGCCCCCTGGGTAGAGCCGACAGTGGCACATTTGTTCCTCTTTACAGTTAGTCTGTGCTTCAGCCCTGCCCTGGTACAATAATAGGCAACTAGCAAACATGGAAACAAGGAATAATTTACGTGGAAAGAGAAGTTGGAAATGGAAAACTGGAAGGATTCACCTGCCAAAACACCTTCGAGACCTCAGGCTGGAGTGGGATCCCAGAGAAGAGGCCTCCTAAGTTGGGGGTCAGGAGACAGTTGGGAGACAGAGTCAGGGAAGGCTCTGAAGACAGGGTGTTTAGCTCAGCCTTACAAGTTGGGTGCCATCAAAAGCATCTCAGACAGACAGGACCAAAAAAACAGAGGCTTGTTCCAGGACAGATGTCTGGATCAAGTTAGGCGAAAGAGACATCTTTAAAGAAAGCCTGACGATTTTAGCGTTCTCCTCACCCCCTCCTTGCCCCTTCCTCGCCCCCTCCACATGCCAACTCTGTTGTTGCTTGGAAGGTAGCAGGAGATAGCCCCCAAGAGTTCCAGCTGGTCACAGCACGCTGTGGGCAGTCATTGAATCAGTAGGTGCCCTGGTCTCTGTCCATAAATAAGCACAATGGGCTCTAAGCTTGGCAAATATGTATGTGGAGGAAAGGCCAAAGGTCCTGCTTGGTCAGAACCGGGGCTCCCTGTCCCCGCTTGGGCTGGGTCTGAAGGTGGGCACTGTCTCTTGCTCGATTGTTTGTGTGTTCATTCTTTCGCTTCCTTTAGTAAAACTCTGTCCCCATAAGCTTGAGCAGCTAAATATGACATCCCCAGCTTCTCTTCAAGTTGGTGATAGATGTGACTACATTGTGAGCAGATGCAATGTGTTCTGCTTTTCGATGTCATCACACCCTTAATGAATAGGAATGCTGGGTGCAGTGGCCTGAACTTGTAATCCCAGCACTCAGCTGAGTCGAGAATCACTTGTGTCCAGGAGTTTGAGACCAGCCTGGGCAACAAACTCCCTCTCTCAAAAAGGAGGAAAAAAAAAGATGTGTGGCTTCCTCAAGTCTCATTTTTTACCTTCGTCTCCACAGGCTGAGATGCCAGTGTAATGGCAGGTACTAGAGCAGCTATTCTTGGGCCTCAGCGTGGAAGCCATGTATTAAGTATGGAGCTAAAAGTAGCAGAAATCCCCAGTATGACAGAGGTGTCTTTTTAACTAGGAATATTTACCTTCAGAGCTGCTGTTATATGAGAGATAAACAACAACTTTCTCCTCCTCTTCCTCCTCCTCCTTTTTTGTTTTGAGACAGGGTCTCCCTGTAGCCCCAGCTGGCCTAGAAGTCACTATGGAAACCAGGCTGGCCTTGATCTCACAAAGATTCGCCTGCCTCTGCCTCCCAAGTGCTGGGCCTAATGGCGTATGTCACCACATCCAGCTGAGATAACTTTCTATCGTGCTGTTTTGTCTGAGTCTCATTAAGCAACTCCAACTCATACCTCAGCCAACATATACGCGCAGCTCCCACCATGCCCCACATGCTTCCACACACAGTATTTGCCCCACAAGCTTCTGGAACTTGGTCCTGAGACTGACCACACTTGAGAAATTTCTCCCCTGGCTCACCTCCCAGCACTCATCCTGGAAGCCTGTTTGGTACACATACTTGAAGCTGAGCACTGAGTAACTTTAGGACAAATCCCTCCATGTTTTAAATATCGGGTCTTTAAATTTTTTTTTCCATTCTGCAGATGCATTAATAGTAACACTTCTTTCAAAAGGCATGGTTTTTAAAACTTATTTTATTTATTTTTATTTATTTTCTATGTGTATGAGTGCATTGCCTGCATGCATGTAAGTGCACTTGTGTTGTGCAATGCCCATGGAGGTCATAAGAGGGAGTTGGATCCCCTGGAACTGGAGTTACAGTGTTAGCTGCCATGTAGGTGATGGGAATTGAACCCAGGTCCTCTGTAAGAGCAGCCGGTGCTGTTAACCCCTGAGCCATCTCTCCAGTCCCAATGCAGGGGTTTTTAAAATAATTTTTTAAAAATATTTTTGAGACAGGGTCTCCCTGTAGCCCCAGCTGACTTAGAACTCAATATGTTTACCAAGCTGGCCTCAATCTCACAGAGCTCCATCTGTCTCTGCCACCTGAGTGCTGGGACTAAAGACATTTGCCACTAGGCCTTCTAATTATAAAACCTTTTTAGCCGTGCAAAGTGGTGCATGCCTTTAATTCTAGCACTTGGGAGGCAGAAGCAGTTGGATCTCCATGAATTCAAGGCCAACCTGGTCTACAAAGGCAGTTCCAGGTCAACTGGGGTTTAAAGGGAGTCCCTGTCCCAAAAAGACCGAAAAACTTTATTTGCTTATTTTTATGTGTCTTGAGTATTTTGCCTGCATAAGTGCACCTGTGTTGTGCAGCAATACGTGCAGAGGCCACAAGAGGGTGTCAGATCCCTTTGAACTGGAGTTAAGGATGGTTATTAGCTGCTGTATGGGTGCTGGGAACCCAGTCTGGGCCCCTTGCAAGAGTAGATACTCTTAACTGCTAAGCCATCTTGCCAGTACCTCAGAAGCAGTTTTATGAGCATGGCCTCCTCATGGGGTAGGAAGTGACTGTGGTTTGTCTCATGGGCAGCACTGCAAAGAAAAAGAGCAATTTCCCCCAGAAGAGACAATGGAAACAGGCAGCAAAAATCATACACACGCCCTACAAAAAGGCAACAGCGAGAGACTGCTCACAGCTTCCACCCCAACAGGAACAAGATTTCTGTTCCAGACACACTAATGCAAACATACCATAAGCACAGTCATTGGTTCACGCAGGAGCCAACACACGTAGGTGGAAACACACCCAAACAAAGACACACACAGGAAAGCTGCAGCAGCTGGACTGTTTATTGCGGCTGCCACCCTGGTGTCTGGATTCTCCTGCGTTTCTTTTTGGGGTGCCTTCCTGGCTCTGCCTGTCCATCCCCTGCTTCTTGCTCCTAACCAGTCCTTTTGCTGGACTTGGAGGTACTTTTTTAGTGCCCCCTCTCAGAGCCTCACTCAGGTGGGGTGAGTGCTGAGGATGGGGTGGGAGGCAAGCAGGCCTGCATCCTGCCCCAGGTCCCAATTTCTCCATGGTGCTGTCTATTGCTGAGTGTGGTGTCCTGTTTCCATCGTTGGGTTTAGCTTCCGTGATCTGGCCTCATCTGTGGAGAGGAGGGAAAGCAGATGAAAAGACACAGACCTGGCTTTGCATTCTGGCTCTCTCTATTGATTTTTCTATAACCTCAGAGAAGTACTTGACTTTCTCTGGCCTCAGTTTCACCTTTTCAACCCCCAATTGGAAAGGCTCTATGTTCAGTTTTTGCTCCGCTCACTGGGGAACTCAGAGTCAAATATATCTCTCATTTGATTCTAAGTGTAGAGGACAGCTCTAAAAGAATTTTAATTTGTTTATTTATTTGTGTGTGTGCCCCTGCACCCTTGTGGAGGTCAGCGGTCAGCCTTCCACCAAGTGGGTCCCAGAAATCAAACATAGGTAGTCAGGCTTGAAAGGGAGTGCCTTTACCCACTGAGCCATCTCACTGGCCCAGGAAAACCTTTTGATCCCTGGCTTCCCATCAGTTGCTTCCACTGGCTAGCTTGCTCTTGATTCCTTACCTATAGCTCTGTCTCAGCACCAGGCTTTTTTCTTCTCCGAGTTCTGGAACTTGGTCAGCAGTTTCCTCTCATGTCCACCAGGGCTGGGGCGGTTGGTGTTGCCAGCAGCTTCTCTCTTGGTGCGACCTTTCCGGCCTCTGCCTGCTGATGGGACAGGAGTTAGTAGAGGAGGGAGGACTGAGGAATGGCAAAGGAATGGTTCAAGCTGGGGGGCATTGTGTCGAGGTAAGAAAGACAGGCGAGAGGGCAGCCACCATGTAAGTTTGGAGCACTCCACCCCGCTAGCTGGGTCCCCCTAAAGAGAATGAGAGATGCTCAGATGTTTAAGGTCCCAAGTTTGAATAAGACAGCTCAGTGGATGAGGGACTAGAAGGAGGTGACTTGGGGGGCCAAGGGAACAGGTTGGCTAGAGAAGGCAAGGGGTGGGGAGAAGTCCAAGGACGGACTTCTGAGGAAGGTGGGAAGTGGAAGGGCTGACCAGGGAGCAGAGGCACCGGCCTTACCCAGGTAAGGATGGGCCAAGCTGTACAGGTCATACGTATCCAGGATGACATCTTCCTCCTCCAGGCTTAGGGGCTGTGGGAAGGGGCTGGCTGCTGGGGGCAAGGTAGCCATTGTGCCTGGCCTGCTTTCTCTGGCTTCTCCAAAAGTTTTGTTTGTTTTCCGGAACAACTGTCTGTCCTTAGCCAGTTCCCTCAACCCTACTTATAAGGCTGTCTCCACAGGCTGGTCTGGCCCTCTAGGTCCTGTCTGATGCAATCTGGCCTTTTCCCAGAACCCAGCCCATAGAGCTGTCAGGAGCAGCTCCCTGCCCATTCCCTCACAGGCCCAGCAGTGCTTTTCCATACAGAAGACTCTCTCGCCTCAAGGGGAGGAGGGAGCAGAGTTTAGGCATAAACAGACCTTGAGATTCTGATCTGGGAGACCAGAGGGCCTCAGATGGACCACTCCTGTCCTACCATCCTCTGCCACATGCCCCTCCTGGGCCTGGGTCATGGCCACACACTACCCCCACCCTGCACCTTGTTGGGCTCAGACTCAGGACATAATGGGTATAAAGGGACTGGAGAAGAAGGAAGCAGAGGACACTTAACACACTGTGTGCAGGTCAGTGTTCCCACCCCATCACACTCCAGCCTCCTCTATTTTTATGGAAAGTCCCTAGGGACCTTCCCTTACCTGGGATGGAGGCTAGCTAGCAAGTAGAGAAGGCAAAGTCCTGGATTCCTGAGCCATCCCCCTGCCCCATCCCAGCCCCACTTTCTGGCAGTCTTGCTATGTACTTGTGATTCTCCCCAGTCAGCATCCCAGCTCTGGGATTACAAATGCAACATGCCAGCTCTGATCCATTGTTTCCTGTGTGACCTTGGACATGTCACTTGACCTTTTTGTGCTTCAGTTTCCTGCTCTGTAAGAGAAAGAAACCAATAATCCTATTTACCTCACTTGGATCCAGTGAGGTACTGCCTGGAACGGCCCTTGCCACAGTGGAAAGGTTAATCACAGTTCCTAGTGGTTTCCCTTATTATGCCCTCACTGTAACAAAAAAGAGAGAAAAGAAAGCTAAAAATAGCTGGGCGTGGTGGTGCAGACCTTTAGTTCCAGCACTGGGGAGGCAGAGGTAGGTGAATCTCTGAGTTCAAGTCTAGTCTGGTCTACTACATAGCAAGTGCCACGTCAGCTGAGGCTACAGGGAGACCGTTTCAAAAAGACCAAAAAAAAAAAAAAAAAAGAAGGCTAAAAATGAAATAATGTATTGCAGACTGGTGAGTGAGATGGCACTTAATGCTAGGCCTGAGTTTGATTTCAAGGATGGACATGGTGGAAAGAAAGAACTGAATTTCTCAAGTTGTCCTCTCCACATGCCCACACACCCACACATATTCACACACACATACACACATACACACACACACACACACACATACACACGGTTGTGAATATATATATATATATAATCAATAAGTAAATAAATGGAATTTTAAAATATTTTATTATTTTTATTTTATGTGTGTTTTGCCTGCATGTATCTAAGAGCACCTGTGCATGCAGTGCCCATGGAGGCCGGAAGAGGGCGTTGGATCCTCTGGAACTGGAGTTAAGGACAGGTGTTAGCTATCATGTGGGAGCCCAGATCCTCTGCAAGAGCAGTCAGTGCTCTTAACCACTGAGTAATCTCTCCAACCCCAAATGTAATTTAAAATTTTTTTGGGGGGCCGGGTGTGGTGGTGCACGCCTTTAATCCCAGTACTTGGGAAGCAGAGGCAGGCAGATCTTTGTGAATTCAAGGCCAGCCTGGTCTACATAGTGAGTTCCAGGACAGCTGGAGCTACAGGGAGACCCTGTCTCAAAAAGACAAAAAAAAAAAATTGGGGGGGGGTCTTTTTGAAACAGGGTCTCCCTGTAGCCCCAGCTGTCCTGGAAGTCACTATGTAGACCAGGCTGGCCCTCGAACTCACAGGGATCTGCCTGCCTCTGCCTCCCAAGTGCTGGGACTACAGGTGTGTGCTACCATGCCCAGCTGTAATTTTTAAAATTTAAAAATAATATATTTACACAGAAGGCATATATATAGTAAACATATTTGTGATGGTTTAATATTAATTTATGTGTAAGTTAAAAAGTAATTATTTTAGCCCAAACTGGCATCCCTGGTGCTAGGATTACAAGCAGGCATATACCACCAGATCCAGCTTAGAACGCCTCTTCTTTTTTTCTTTCATTTCTTTTAAGAGATTGCATCTCTTTTTGTTGCTCAAGTTAAACTAGAAGTCCTGGGGTGAAGTGATCCTCCTACCTCAGCCTCCTGAGAGACTACAACCACCATGCCAGGCCTTAAGTGGATTTGATAGAAATTAGTGTGAATTTTAAGTTCAAATAAAAAAAATGTGCAATGAAATGGAATATTCCACTCTTGCTTGAAGGATTTGTAACATGTGAGTCATGTTGGCCCAGAAAGGGTACCCACACCAATTCTATCCAAACTGCCGTCTCTAGGCATGGGTTAGACAGACAAAACATTCCACATCTAAAAGCAAAACAAAACTCTGGTTTTCAGTAAAACAAAACCTCAATCCAGGCCAGATGTCATTTCTCTGCCCACTTTCCCATAGGCTATGAAGCTCGGGACTGTTGGTCCCTCTCAGTGGTACCTGGATCCCTTCCTTTCTTGAGCCTCTACCATACAGGTGGTCCTCTGTCTAGCCAGAAGCCAGCCTTCTGTTTGCTGTTCCCTTGCCTGGACAAAAGCAAAGTTCAGCTTTTGTTTCCCAAATTCTGGTGATTTGTGCATTCTTTAAAACCCAGAGTATAGGGGTTGGAGGGATGTCTCAGAGGTCAAGAGGGAGGCTTCAAGAAAACCTGAGTTTAGTTCCTAGCACCCATGTCAAGTTGCTGCCTGTAACTCCAGCTCCAGGGGATCTGATGCCCTCTTCTGGCCTCCACATACATGGCATACATTCACAGAGACACACAAACATACACATAAATAAAATCAAAATCTTGGGGCTACAGAGATGGCTTAGCAGTTAAGAGCACTGGCTGCTCTTGCGGAGGATCCAGGTTTGATTCCCAGCACCCACATGGTGGCTAATAATCATCTGTAACTCCAGTTCCAGGAGAATCCAACACCCCTTCTGACCTCCGAGTGCAGTGCATAACACGGGTGCACTTGTACACCTATAGGCAATACACTCATACACACAAAATAAAAATAAATGATTTTTTAAGATCTTTTAAAAAAAAGAATGAAAACCTAGGATACTGGGGATGGAGAGATGGCTCAGTGGCTAAGAACACTTGCAGCTTGCAAGCATGAGGTCCTGAATTAAGATTCCAGCATCCTTGGGGCTGGAGAGATGGCTCAGTGGTTAAGAGCACTGGTTGTTCTTACAGAGGACCTGGCTTGGTTCCCTGCACCCACATGGCAGCTAACAACATCCATAATTTTAGTACAAGGGGATGCAACATGCTCCAGTTCCAGGGGATCCAACAGGCATGGGTGTGCTTACATACAGGCAATACATTTATACACATAAAAATAATGAATAAAAAAATTAAAACAAAAAAAGACATGGTGATGCACTTAATTCCAGCACTTGGGAGGCAGGGAGGTCTCTGTGAGGGCAGGACCAGCTGGGTATACATAGGGAATTCCAGGCCAGCTGGGGTTACAGGGAGACCCTGTCTCAAAAAAACCCCCCAAAAATTAAAAAGACAAATAAAACCAAACAAAAAGATCGCAGCACGCATGTAAAAAGCCATGTATGGTTGCATGTGCACCTGTAACCCCAGTGCTGTGGGGGGCAGAAATGGAGACAGGAGGCCAGCATAGCTCCAAGTTCAGTGATTCAGTGACAGGCCCCTGTCTCAAGGGAATAAGGTTTCCTCCTCTGGCATCCTCAGGTGTGTGCACAGGTACATGCACACACAAGGGTGCATACACCACAAACACAAACATACACACACTCGCACAAATAAATAAATTAAAAAAAATTAACTCATAGCCAGGCGTGATAGCACATGACTTTACTTCTAGCACTTGGGAGTCAGAAGCAGGTGGATCTCTGAATTTGAGGCCAGCTTGGTCTACATAGTGAGTTCCAGGCCAGTTGGGGTTACTGGGAGATCCCATCTTAAAAAGACCAAAAAAAAAAAAAAAATTAACCTATAAAAGTAAAGACAGAAGTTTGCTCGAATTGAAGAAGACCATGTGATTAGAGATGGGAAAATAATGTTATACAGCTTGGCCTGGAAGTTTAGTTACTCAGGACACTGAAGTTGGAGGATGGCAAGTTTAAGGCCTGCCTGGGCTACAGTGTGAATTTAGGTATAGCTGTCTCAAAAAAAGGGCTGGAAATGGAACTCACAGTACAGTTTGTTTATCATGTTCAATGCCTTGGCTCCTAGTACAGAGACAAGGAAAACACAAGGAAAGAAAATATTAAACAAGCTGCCAGGTGTGGTGGCACATGCTTGAAATCCTAACACTTGGAAGGCTGGGGAGGCAGGAGTTTGAGGTCAAGGACAACCTGGTTTAATTAATGAGCGCCTATCTCAAAATCAACAATAAAACAAAACATAAACCAGCAAGCAAGTAAACAAAACCCCACACTAATAGACTAAGATAAAGTAAGGTGTAGAAAATGGTGTTCTTGGGACATGGTTGGCTTTTTTTCATTGTGGTGAAAATAATTCCTTTACTAGGACACAGATAGGGTCAGAGTCTAGGGGAAAATCACCATAAATATGCTTATTAGTTTCATGAATGTCTAGCAGGACAGTCTAATATTGTTCAGGGTATGGAGCACACTACTGTCCTATACTTCCTTTTTTATTGTTTTTTTTTGTTTTATTTTCATTTTATGTATATCTGTGTATTATGTGCATGTATGCAAGTGCACCCGTATCATGAAGTGCCTGTGGAGGACAGAAGAGGGGTGTCAGATCCCCTGGAACTGGAGTTACTGATGGTTGTTAGCCACCATGTGGGTGCCGGGATTTGAACCTGAGTCTTATGCAAGAGCAGCCAGTATTCTCAATTGCTGAGCCATCTCTGCAATCCCTTCCTCTTTTTTTTGAACCCAGAGCTTTTCACAGCATTGTACCACTGAGCTATATTCCTAGCCCTTTACTCTTTTATGTCCCCCACTGCCCCCCCCTTATGACTAGCCACTTACCCTGTAGAATCCTTAGAAGCCCCCTATGAGGCAGCCCTACCCCTTATACAAAGCAGCTATT